CTTCCAACCTTGTTCTCTCTAGCCCTAAGACTGAAAATAAGACAAAAGATATTTTACAAATGAGCTATGTTGGGTATTAAATGGTTTGGGGCAAAAAAATTTGAAATTCCAGAATTGCCCAGAACTGAAGCACGATTTTCGCATTTGCGAACAAAGGTTCACAATTGCGAACTATGACTGCACTGTGCATCTTTGCATTTGCGATCAGTACTTCGCATTTGCGAAGGTTGACTGCCTAGTTGACTTTCGCATTTGCGAAGACTGCCTGAATGGCCTTTCTTCGCAATTGCAAGAAACCTCTCGCAATTCCCATCACTGCTTGCTTCGCAATTCCCAGCATTTTGTCGCAATTGCGACAACTAAGGGCATTTCCCAGATTTTCCTCTTTTTAGCTTCTTTTTGGCTCGTTTCACTTGGTTTCTTCAACATCACTTCTAAATCACATAGAACATGTAATAGAAGTAACTGGCATTAAACACGTGATTTTATCACTCAAACATAGCAAAAATATAGGCTTAAAGACATGATAATTGGTAAAATACCAACTTATCAATGCTACAATAGTATTTATTGATATTAGAATCGGGTTGCACGCCGCAATATTATTTATTGATATTGGAATTGCGTTGCACGTTGCGACAGTGTTTGAGAGTGATGTTTGGTTATGATCCTTGCGCGTATTGAAGCTTAAGTCCCATTCAATTCATATAATTTCGCTGACTACCCTCTTACTCGCACACCTACAAAGAATGAGGACAGTCAGACTAACAACAAAAAAGAACTATCACTCGAGAAAACGGCCCCCCTTTCTGCCATGATTATTGTTTCCTTCGTATGAAATGGTTATGATGTTACGTCTTGTTGCCATATCTGTTTATTACTCCATAGCTCTCTAGTTGATGCTCTCCCTATTATTTGACATATCACTTGCCTTGTTTTTCCTGCTTATCATCTAAAAAGGTACATAGTAAGTGAGAATTCTTTCACTTGAATCTCGTCACTACTTCACCGAGGTTAGTGAAGATACTTACTAAGTACATGGGGTCGGCTATACTCATACTACACTTCTATACCTTGGGTGCAGATCTTTGAGCTGCGTAGCTATGGAAGACGAAGCCTTGCATTGAAGGGGTTTCAGTGTTTCCGATTTAAGCTACATTTTGTTCATGGTATATGAGGACTTAGATTCTATTTATGTAAATTTCAAACAAATATCGTATTTGTTCTTCATATCGTCTTTGTATATCTAAATCATAGTAGCTAATGACTTGTGCTTCCAGTACTTGGCAAGTTATATAGAATTCAGTTATTTTCATTCTTGTTGTTGTTGACTTTTCACTTGAGTTATTTTAATCTGTGTTAGGCTTACCTAGCACAGGACTTAGGTGCCATCACGACTAGGTGGATTTTGGGTCGTGATAAGTTGGTATTAGAGCACTAGGTTCATAGGTTCTACGAGTCATGAGCAAGTATCTGGTAGAGTCTTACGGATCGGTATGATGACGTCCATACCTATCTTGGAGTGGTTAATGGGCTTGTAGGAAGCTTCCCATCTTTCCTTCCTTATCGTGCGACTTTGTTTCAACTTGAAGTTTATATCATTGATTTTCCTCCATTTACTCGTACGTGATGTTGAACACTTGATATCTGTAACGACCCGATTGGTGACTTTGAATACTATATGTCCTTTATTTGTTCCAAGATTTTTCATAGCTCTATTTGATGGTTTATGACTTTCCTTTGTGATTTTTTTCATATGTTGATTTTCGAAAAATTTAAATGTGATTTTTTTAAAAAAAAGGTGATTTTCACTTTAAAAATTACTAGAGTTGACCACGGCCAACGTTTGTGGTAAACGATCTCGGATCGGTATTTTGACAATTCTGGTATGTTCATATGATGATTTTGAACTTTTACGTATGTTTGGTTGGGGTCACGGGTGACCGAGGCCGTTTTGGATCATTATGTGAAAAGTTGGCAAAATTGAGTTTTAAGTTGAAATCCTTGAGTTTTGATGACCGATTCTTGTTGTTTGATGTTATTTTGATGATTTGAGGTAGCGGGAGATTTTGTATGATGTTACTACAATTGTGTAAATGTTCAGAAAGGAGCCTGAGGGGCTCGGGTGAGTTTCGGAGGAGTTGCACATAATTTTGGTGAAGCTGATGAACAATTGGTGTGCTGAACCTGCAGATCTCGCATTTGCAAGGCTTTGTTCGCAAATGCGAGCACCGCTTTTGTAAGTGGTGGATCGCATTTACGAAAATAGTATAGGGTTGGGCACTTCACATTTTAAAAGTGTGTATTGCATTTGTGGACAAAAGGGTTCCACATTTGCTACGGATATGTCACATTTGCGACACATTACGCTTTGGGGGTAATCACATTGTCAGATTTGCAGCTGTCCAGGGTTCGCATTTGCGATGCTTTCTTTGCTTTTGCGATATCATCAGCCTCATAGACTTTTCTCTTTTGCAAATAGTTGATTGCTTTTGCGATCAGGAGTTTGCAATTGCGATATTTGCAGCAAGGTCAATTGTGGGGATTTCGAGACATAGATCATTTTATACTATCTTTCAATTCTAAACTCCATAAAAGCCATTTTTGAAAAAGTGTTTTCTTCCCAAATTAATTGGTAAGCATCTTTAACTAGTTTTCGATCAATTTCAACTACTTTTCCATGAATTTCAACATCAAATATATGAATTTCAAAGTAGAAATTGAGAGTTTTGGGTAGAATTTAGGAATTTTCTAAATTAAGATTTAGACCTAAAATTGAGGTCGAATTTCAAAATAAATTAAATCTCCGGGCTCAAGGGTGAATGGGTAATCGAGATTTGGTCTGAATCTCGAATTTCGACGACATGGGCCTGGGTTGACTTTTTCAATTAGTTAAAGATTGAACCTTTTTCACTTGTGGGTAGTTTCTAAAGCTTATTTTGAATTTTTTGAAAGATATTTGGCTAGATTCGATTGGTCTGGAGGCTTGATCTAAAGGAAAAGCCATGGTTGATTGTTGATTGTGATCTGTAATGAGGTACGTGTTTTGCCTAGCTTTGTTGGGGAAAATATTTCCTATTAATTGATATTACTTGCTATATGAAGGGGAGGGGGGGAGCCATATATGAGTTGAGGAGTGTATATGCATGTGCTAGGGTTTCCATGCTCGGGAGGGGAAACTATATGCCTCTTTGTGCATTGTTGAACTTGATGATCCCTTAACCTATGATTCATTTAATTCAGTGTAATAAACCAATTGCCTATGTTAGAAGTCATGCTAAAATATATTACATCTTAAAAAGGATTTAATGTGCTATTTTTTTTAGATTTGATGCATACTTAACTTGATCGTGGTATCACGAACCCATATTTATACCTATTTTTGTCATGTTACTTGAGCTTCTTTATCCATAATAAGAGATTATAATTGGGGCCTTAGGGATATGTTTGGCACGATGGATATTTTCGTGTAGTTGATATGATGTTGGCACGATGGTTATTGCCGTGCGATGTGAAATATGATTGGACGGTTGGTTGTTACCGTGGGAGAAGAATGGTAGTTGGATTCTTGTTATAATTAGTCATTCGTTAAGAACTTACATGCTCCCCAACTTGGTTTCTATTATTGTTTGCTGTTTTGTACGTTTGTTTCTCGTTTGTGTTCTTTATGTAGTTACCTCTTTATTTCCCATTTGGCATGTTACTGATATAACTGTGCTTGTACCTTGTCTGTTACTGTTACTCCTTCGCTTTTAATTGATTTACTTCTGTTACATGTCCTCTCCGAATTCATGCCTTAACTTGTTATTAGCCCGTACATGTTACATATGTGATTTGCTTATTAGATGTTTTGACCTGCTACGTGCTTTCACTTACTACCTTCCTTCACTTGCTATATGCCCTTACTTGCCACATGCCTCCGCTTGTTATATGATTTAACTTATTACATACATCTACATGATCCTTGTTTTTACTCGATGTACATGTTTCCACGTTTCACATTCTACATTGCTTTGCTTAGCCAGATCGGGTGAATTTTAAATTGGTTGTGTATATGTGCTTTGTGGAAGCCTTGTTTTTATATGTGGGAGACTAGCTTTTGGGTGCTATGTAGTTCACCTTACTTTGTGAGTTTGTATTCCTAGTTGACTTTCGCATGTTCATTTTCTTGGCATCATGCTGTAAATATCTTGTGCTTGGTTGTTGTAGAATAGTTACGTACGAACTTATGATATTATATGTGGGATTGGGTTGCCGCCGCAACGATATTGATATGATATATGGGATCGGGTTGAACACCGCAATAATGTTCATTGTATTGGGATCGGGTTGCATGCTACAACAAAGTTTAATTGATATTGGGATCGTGTTGCACGCCGCAACAGTGTTATTTGAGATTAGGACCGGGTTGCACGCTGCAATTATATTTATTGGTGATGTCTGGTTATGATCCTTGAGAGTACTTAATGATTATTGTTTCATTCATAGAAATGGGTACGAGGTTATCACTTCTTGCCATGTCTGTTAGTTGCTCCATAGCTCTCCAATTGATGCCCTTACCATTATTCTAACATATCTCTTGCCTTGTTTCTCCTACTTATTATCTGCATAGGTACATAGTAAGTGTAGACAGGTAATTTTTTATCCTCCCCGAGATTTTACACTTTTTAGCATTTAGATATTTAGTTTAGGACTAATATCATTATTTTAACTAGTTTTGGCTCTTTTACTTCATTTTATCACAAAATTGAAAATTACAATTTTTTTATTTAGCTAGTTGATATTTTATTTTTATTTTATTTATTTAAGTTCATTAGTATTTGTGTAGTGGTTTGATCTTTTGTCCGCATCCCTATTTTTAGTATAATCTTCTAAAAATACAAAAAAGTAGCTTTATTTTAATATTTAATTCCATTTTTATAATTTATTTCTTAAGTAAGGTTAATTAATTTTAGACTAAGTTTTATCTTGCTTTTAGCTCAATTAAACAAATTACCTTATCCCATTAACCAAAAAAGCCCAAACCTCCCTTACCCTTTAACAAAACCTAAGACTTCATTCTAAAAAGAACCCCATCCCCAGCTGTTTTCCAGGACCATCAGCGACAGACCCCTCCCCCCTCCAATCGGCTCTTCTTCAACATCAACACAAGACATAAGAACAAAACCTAGAGATCAACCTAATCTCCTACAGGAGACAAAAAGATAGCCGCAGCATAACCCCTAAAAACCTCCATCGCCGCCGCGTCTCCATCACCTACAAAACAGCGGCCACCTCCTAAAACCAGCAACATCTGGCCGACCGCCGGCCTCCCCCGTTGTCACACCACCCGCACACCCCACTGAGATCGACACCTACAGAAATAGTCGCCTATTACCTAAATCAAGAGGCAGCGGCAGACATCCCTACAAAAAAAAATAATAAGCATAATTTCTACGCCAAAAGAGAGATTCTGCCGTGAAAACATACAAAAAAAAGACAAAAAAAAAAAGCAAAGTAAAAAGAAGACAAAAAAGCGGCGGACATATAGAAATTGGAGACGTTACTCCATTTCCCATTTCTAATGGATTCCAACTTTGTATTTATTTTCTTTCCTTCGGTCTTTTCTCCCGATAATCCGTTACATGCTTTTCTTTAGAAAGATTTTTGATTCTCCGATTTTGGCCTGATTTGAGTATCTCCGTCGAGGTTCCGTCGAGGTTGTCGCGTCCAAGGTTTCCGGTCGATATTTGAATAGCAATCGAGGTGCTATTTGTAAGATTTGGTTTATCGTTCATCTGTGGGTTATGTTGTTGATGTATGAAGAGGTTCTTGCTTAAGCAAAATCCGGAGAAAGCTTTGCTACAGAGAAGGTCCAATTCTTTTCCCTTTCTTCTTCCAATTTTGTTTTGCCAAATTTGTCGTTTATTGAATGACTTTATGAAGTGTTCTTGCGATTGGTATTATTGTTTGCGTGTTAGTCTACTCCTAGTAGAGTAGTTGCTATTTTGGAATTACTGCTTCTTTAATTTTGAACATGGAAAATGAATTGGTTTTGAGTTGTTGGGTTTAGTTATTGAAATTGGAATTAAAACATACATTATCTTGAAAATAAGAATGGGGTTTATGTTTAAGACATAATTAAATGCACTTAAGTATTGCTATATCTGTTCTTATTTTAGTTCTATCTTTATTTTGTCCGCTAGGAACATGGTTAGGCCGTCAACATTTGGGTAGGCAAGCCTTAGGTTTTATTATTTCTTTCGAGGTGAGGGGTCGTTCCTTTAGTTGAATATATCCGGGGAATGCGAGGAGAAATTCGTCTATATTTTTATCCGGGGTATGCCCCGAAGTATTTGTATTTCAAGGCCAACAATGGAACACTTTGAGGAAGCATGGAATAGTATTTTTATTTTTACTTATTTTTGTTTTATTAGGTAGGGACGACCTCGAGCTCTTTTGATCGCTTATTTTCTTTTTCTGTTTTTTTTTACCTCAATCTGAATATTCTTTAAAGACAACTTGATCATGTACGCAACCGTACTAGTTACGGGATTCGGGGAATGCCTAACACCTTTTCCTCCTGTCAAATGAACCCCCTTACCCTAATCTATGATGGGGGCTTAGTTTTGGAGTCTAAAGTGTTTTAAAAGGAAAAATCATTTTTAAGAAAAACGGTGACCTGGCACACCAGAACCAATGTCAGGTGGCGACTCTAAGTTATTTCCTTTTGAATACAATTTTGTCACTTTTTAATTAAAAATCCTTTTGAGCTTTACAAATTCCTTTTATTTATTTTAAGAGGTTTAAGTGAGGTTGTAAAAGGGGTGTGACAGCTTTGGCGACTCTGCTGGGGACTTGCAGGTTCGAGCTAGTACTCTTGTTGGATTTTTAGGATATTCGGTTGAGGTTTTTATGTGTTTTGTTTGCTTTATTTGTTTTTTATTTTGTTTATGTCGTTTTGTTATTTGCTAGTTGCTTATTGGTTTACAGTTTTTCCTTTGTGTGTTACTGCTTTATAAAGTGTCATCATTTGCATAACCCTGGGTCTTTTTTCTGCAACAAGTCTTTCGGAGTACGTTTGAGCGTACACGGCCCTTTGTGGGTCACCCATGTCTTTAGGGGGGTGGCGTGTGAGCGTGGAGTGGGCGGACAGCTAGAGCAGCTGCCATCGACCACGTGACGCCCCGAATTGCCCTGTCTAGTGAACCTCAACCTTAGGTCAGCCTTTAGGTCATGCTTATTTGCATCATGTCATCTACACTTAGCAGGGCTCGGTCCTAGGCACCATGTCCCTTTATAGGAGGCCTATCCAAATTATGTCAAAATGGGCTTGTGGCCCCAAAAGACATTCAATCATTCCTATGTAATACATGTTGCATCTTTGAGGGTAGAAAGGTCATTTGGCGGATCAATGATGGTGAAGTATAAAAATGAAGCAAGTAGGGCCCAGTTATGATTTCCTTTCACAACTTTTTCAAGAAAAAGACAAAAAAATATTAAAATAAAAAATCCAAAAAGATTTTGCACTTTCAATCATTTTCTAAAAAGATAGGAGAAAAAGAAAATCCAAAAGGATTTTACATTTTCCATCATTTTTCAAAAAGACAAAAAATATAGTTTTTCCAAATTAATTACATTTTTTTATAAAGCTTCCCATGTCCGATCTATCCGAACTACGCATACCTGATTCTCGTATTTCCGGTCGGGATACGTAGGCAGCCCACATAGGGTCCGGTGTTCCTAGTAAGTCTGAGGTTCTTGGCTTCGCAGGGTCTTAGCCAAATCTTGCATGTCTAGCCACTTTTGGCCATATCGGGCTTGTAGCAAAATCGGGCTACTTTGCGAAGTGGCTTGTTGAACCGTGCTTGGAGAGTCTAGAATCCACAATCTCCTTACTTTAAGGCCCATTCCTGTTGAATTTGAGTGGCTAGCCACTTTTGGCCACATCGGCCATTCTTGCAAAATGGGTCATTTTCGCAGAAGTGGTTCAGTGACCCATCTCATAGGTCCTAAGTCCACAACAAGGTGTCATCTTTGTTTAAGGTCCATTCCTGTTGAATTTGCATGCTTAGCCATTTTTGGCCACTTAGGCCATGTCTACAAAATGGGGTCATTTTTTGCAAAGTAACTTTAGAGGTTATGATTCCTTGAAGTCTAAGGCCATATAGGCCTTTATGAGGTGTTTCCTTATTGAGTTTTGCACTTTCAATGACTTTTGGCTACGTAAGCCTTTTTGCTAAAACAACCTCATTTGTGACTTATATGTGTCCAATAGGATGTGTTATGGCCTCAAATAGTGTCTCGAGTCGCTAAATCTGCTTGGTCTTATTTTTTCATTCAGGTATGGATCAGTGTACCGGAGCTTGAGCATGGCAGATGCCCCAGGACCATCCAGTCAGGATCATTATATTTATGAATTGCTTGAGGATAGATTTTATATTTTGAGTCTGTTTTCATGTTATCTTTTATTTTCTAGTCTTGTACAGTTGTATCGAGTCTTTTAGTTGGTGTCAGAGCCTGTCATAGTCTAGTTGAGTTCGTCGAGTCTTTTGTTATCGTATTTGCTATTTTGTATGTGAAAACCAAAAAAAATTAAATGAAAAATCCAAAAAGATTTTTTTTAAAATTTATTTTGTCCATTACTATTCCAGAACTACGCTTGATCTGATTCATGAGGGACATGATACGTAGGCAACCTACATAGGGTCCGATCGAATCATTATTAAAAAAAGGAAAAAAGAAAAAAAAAGATAAAAGTTGTGGGATGCGAGAAATGAGAGGAAAGAAAAGAGTGACAGTTAAAAAGAAAAGAGAGGAAGGAAAATGAGCGAGCCAAGAAGTACTAGAAAAGAAAGAAAAGAGAAAATTGAAATGAACAAAATTGGGATGATGCCAAATGGCCTTGTGACCCTCGAAGTCATTCTAGAACCATTAATCATTGCTAGGGGCATTGCACGCAATGTGATATTTCTATATGATAAATGTCCTAACGCTAACATGTAGACTTTGTTTTGCTCCTCTTTGTTACTTTCATCATAATAGAGGGTGGTTAGTTTGTGGCACTTTTGCGATTTGTCCATACAACACAAGGTCAAAAAGCAAGAAAGTCATGGCTAGCAAAGACTTGGATACAGGAGTTGTTGACCCCTCAAGGGACATTGTGGAGTCGGAATTTGAATTGAAAGAGGGGGTCCAAAGGCTGAAACAACAAATGTCTGAAATGTGTCAAGCATGGGCCAATGGTCAAGGACCACCCCTTTTTTATGTTTTCCCAGAGTTTACACCCATCTCGACTACTACCTTTCCGGTTTATTGTCTGATCAATTCTATCCATTTAGGTTCAGCCTTTATCCCAATTGTACGACTATATCTGGAACTTCTATTGCGCACTCCCAAAGTGTGCCATTGACAACCAATCAGACAACCACTACAGTTATGCCCTTCTTCACCATCTCACAACCGACGGTAGTGCAGAGGAAAACTCATGAGTCACAATTTGGTACGCAGCAAGAACAATGCCACTCTATTGAGTACCACTCTTACCTATTTGATCTTCCTGCAAATATTGAGAAGCTTGGCCGAAAGATAGCACCGGAAGAAATAACCCAAAGAGTGAAAAGATTAGAACAACAGTTGAAAAACATACAAGGGCTGGCAGGTCAGAAGAGTATTGCCTTCAAGGATCTATGTATGTTCCCCGATGTTCATTTGCCACTTGGTTTCAAGACTCTCAAATTTCAAAAGTATGATGGACATGGAGACCCCATAACCCACCTGAAAAGGTATTGCAATCAACTAAGAGGTGCGGGAGGAAATGAAGAATTACTGATGGCTTATTTTGGGGAAAGCCTTACGCGTGTAGCCTCCGAATAGTTTATGGGTCAAGACACATCTTGCTGGTATGTCTGGGATGACATGGCCCAGGCCATTGTCAAACAGTTGCAATATAAAATTGACGTCGCCCTGGACCGTCATTCCCTGTCAAATCTATAGAAGAAACCAACTGAAAATCGTAAGGGAATATGCCATTAAATGGAGAGAACAAGCAGCTAGAGTTAAGCCACCCAAGGATGACCACGAGCTAATCACTGTCTTCCTTCAGGCTCAAGAGCCTGATTACTTTCAAAACATGATGTCCGCAGTTGACAAATCAATCTCGGAAGAAATCAAAATGGAAAAAATGGTAGAGAATGGCCTTAAGACAGGAGAAATTAATAGTCAAGCAGCTGTCAAAGCTGCAACTCAGGCTGTCCAAATTGAATCTGGTAATTTTAGTGGCACGAATGAGAAGGTTGAAGACATCAGGGTCGAGAAGAGGTCCTAGAAGAACATCTCGAATGTAGGAGTAGCCTCGTTTGTTTTTTGACGATTCCCCTGAGAACCCACAATACTTTGTTGCTCCACCCCAGTTTGTTTCCAGCCGCCAAGAAAATCCCAGAAGTCGAGCGCCAGCACCGCAAAATCTCCCCCAGCCTAAAAAAAATTTTCAAGTGCCCCATAACCCACATCCAAGCCGAGGGTATAGAGCTAAACAAAGGTTGAAGGATAATTTTACACTGATAGGAGAGTCCTATGCAAGCTTGTTTGAGAAATTAAAGCATTATGACCTGATTGAACCTATTCCTCCGAATCATGAGGACTCACGTGCAAGAAGCTTTGATCCTTCTAAAAGGTGTGAATACCATTCCAATGCCCAGGGGCACAATATTGAAAGTTGTCGGGATTTGAAAAGAGAAATAGAAAGGAAGATCCAGGACAAACTAATTGTGATCCAAGACGGTGACGCCCAGAATATCACGCAGAATCCTTTACCTGCGCATGATGGCGTACACTTTGTGGGGATGATGCGTGGTGACAGGGAGTTTGAGAATCCTCTTGGGAACTTGCTGACTGAAGTTAATTATATTGAAATAGGTGAAGGTCCCAGTAATTTTGATGTGCAACCCAGCGGCTAAGATGTCAAGCTTTGTAATTGGAAAGACACTCCTTTCTTGGCTATCCAGAGAGGAGTTTTGGTGGTTTATTTTGTTGTCATTTCTGTTGTCCGGGTTATTTCTGGGTTGTAATCCGGATATTGTCTTGTGGCTCAAACCTTTCTTCTTCTTATTTGTCTAGTTCGTTTAGTTGTAATAACTCGTCTACTGTTATTTAGGATTGTTCCAGGGTTGTAACCCATGTCTATTGTGCTTGTTTTGTTCAAACCCTTTTCACCATCTGTCTAATGCAATCTCCTGTTATCTGTTAAGTTTTTGTTTAGGTCACTTTTCCTTTTATAGTTCTTTTCATCCTGACTCTAGTGACATGACATGCACGCATAATTCTCAGCCTGGTCTTGAAAGTTAGTCTAATCATGAAGCAATGACACGGTTTTGAATATGATAAAAGGAGGCATTTGAGGAAACAAGTAAAGATTCACGCATTCTGAGATAACCTGAAGCTTGAATTGAGTGAAACTGAGGCAGTTAGTCTGGAAAATCAAGAGGTTGATGAGAGCATACAACAAGGGAATGTCTCTCAAGCAGTTTGAGGTAGATCGTCAGTGCTGATATGCATTCTTCCACATCAAGATAAGGTTGAGTCAAGTCTGCTTCTAATTGGCAAGGATCATTCATTGGGACAAAGGTATTGCCCGTCGGCATTTTCTGTTTGTGGTGAGGCCATCAATAGATACTGTGTATGATTTCTTGCTTATCTTCAATTGCATGTTAGTACTTGGCATTTTTAAAGTTTGGTATGACGAAGGGCATTTTATTCTACTACCCAAACACTTTTATCTTTTGCTACTCCTTTGAGCCTTAATTTGTTTTGTTCCATACCCCTCTTTTGGAATCAGAAGTAGAGTGAGGAACTAGAAAAGAAAAATAAAAGAGAAAAAGAAGAAAAAGAAAAAAAAAGAGAAAAAAAAGAAAAACAAAGAAAAGAAAAAGGGAAAAAAACCCCAACTTTGTGTTTGAACTACGTTCGACCTGATTCTTGTTACCTCAAGATACGTAGGCAGCCTTACGGTTCGGTCATACCAAATAAAATATTTCATAATCCCCCGAAGTCAATTGTGGAGCAGATTCTCTTAGAAATCCCATCAAAAAAATAAAATCCCAGACTCCAAGAAACTGGGGCAGAAGTTTTAATTTGGCCAAAAAATCTGATTCCAAAAGTTGTAATTCTGAACCATTTCATCTTAAATTATTTTGAGCCTTCATGTCACCCTTTCTTTCTAACCCTGTCCAAAAGCCTACATTACGGTCCAAAGAAAGACCTTCCGACCAATCTTTGAGGATGCCAAATCAAGTGTGTGGTGAAAGTTTGATCTTCCTGCATCATGGGTAATACCTCGTTCTCAGCACAAAGAGAGAAAATGATAAAATGAGAAAGTCTTATTGGTGAAAACCCTCAGGGGAACCGTAAGGCGACTGTACGTTGTGAAAAGAGCGAAACGAGAGAGGCTTGATGGTAAATAATGATGAAGAAAATTATATTCTGAAAGTATATATACTATTGGGAAAAATATGAGGGCAAAATTGGGTATCAACAGCTGCCCTTCTTTACCGGGAATGATGAAATAGTTGGCGGGTAAAGAAAATGATAACCAATTTTGGCCGAATTGAGTGGGAATGATGTGATTTGAAAAAAATTGAGGCTGAACCTTGGCTCTTGAGTTGCCTACATATCCCTGGTATTACGGGAATCAGACCGTGTGTAGTTCTGGATCCAACGGTAAAAGAAACTGATGGAGTTGTTATAGGAATGTTCGCATGTTTCGGAGAGGGTTCCTTTGGGTAGGATAGTATCGGATCAATTTATGCGAAGTCATGAATGTGAATTTGAAACGTCATAGATGTGTTGCTAGGCGGACATCTGAACGGTAGTAGAGTAAAAGGTAAGCAATTATTGGTAGTCGATTACGTTTGAAGCGATCGAAGGATGTGAATATTGTGAACAGAAACCAGAGCGATGATTGCTCCCGTTTGTAGAACGGTTACATCCCGAGTTACCTACAAAACTCAAAACACGGTGCATGTAAATATATATGGGTTATTCAGTAATTTAAACGTGATACAAATTCTCTTTGGACCATGAAAGTTGTCTTTGGACGGTGAGGATGATGTCCTTAGACCATGACGTCCTGGGCCATGAAGTGTATGATAAGGGATTCGTATGCCATGAAATGGCATCCTCGAGCCATGAGGATGGTGCCTATGGACTATGACGCCTTTGAATGATGATGCACAGTTTTGAGAGATCCTCGATCCTAGAATTATGTCTCTCGGCTATGAGGATGATGACTTCGGACTATGACACCTTTGGACAAAATGGAAATATTTTAGCCCATAAAATGCAAAGATATGATGCTTGGTCATATGCAAGGATGAGATAAGATGAGGCTTTGTCTTGTCTGAGATGAGGGCAGTGGTTATCACTAGATGAACAACGGGATAGTGCTGGGTCTTAGGTAGAGTAGTGGAGGTAGTAGTTAGTCTTACGCAAAGAAAAGCCATTGCTTAGCCTTATGCAATTATGGAGGTAATGCTTAGCCTCGTGCAATTATGAAGGCAATGCTTAGCCTCATGCAGGGAAAGGCAGTGCTTAGCCTTATGCTATTAGAGATGCAATGCATAACCTCATGAA